TCATTCAAAGAAATGCACCAATTAGAAATCAACATTTTAAAATATTATTCTGAATGTGAATCCCTATAGAAAGCAGTAATTTAAATAGTCTAAACTCTATGCAAAGGTGAACATGTCATTTTTCATCATTGGTAATTAAATTGGGTATTTTTAAAATATGAAGCCTGAAATGAGATGCATATAGACATACTTTGTAGATTGAAGAGTGCTATAAACATAGGGTATCAATACATGAAAGACATACAAAAAAGAAAAAAAGAATAAAACAAAAAAAAAAACATAGGGTAATATTACTATTACTGTTGTTACTATTATTCCTATTTATATTCCTCACAGGCCCCAGCACATGCTAGGCATGGTTAATAAATATTTGCTGTAAGTAGATGAGGCCATCACCTCACATTGCAAGACAAAAATAAACTCTCAACAGACATGCCTGCCAGTGGGTCCTGCTTATAATTATTTCCTTAAGTGGTGTTAGCTGGGCCATTACCTCATCCCCTGTTCTACTCTGTAATGTTCTCCAACTTTCTCTCCTGGAGGGATCACATTCTACACACGCCTGGCTCATCAGTAAGTAGGATGTGCCTGTGCATATGTGGCCTGTGTTGTGCTTGGCTACACGGGAGTTAAGAACTATTTTCAGTCGTTTCAAAGCTTGCTTGAGTCCTCAAAGGCAGGCATGGGCTCTTCTTTTCCTTCCGTTGCTGCTTCCTGAGCATAGTGCCAGACATGTCATGCCATTGGAATAAATGTTTATTGCTGAATAATGTCCCAGGAAACCCAGTCAACCCTGCCTGGGCAAGGTGTGGTGGCTCATGCCTATAATCCCAGTATTTTGGGAGGCTGAGATGGGAGGATCTCTTGAGGCCAGGAGTTTGAGACCAGCCTGGGCAACATAGTAAGACCCCATAAATACAAAAGTTAGCCGGGCATGGTGGCATGCACCTGTAATCCCAGCTACTTGGGAGGCTAAGGTGGGAGGATCCCTTGAGCCCAGGAGTTCCAGGCTGCAGTGGGCTAAGGTCCATGCCACTGCTCTCCAGCCTGGGTGACAAAGTGAGACTCTGTCTCAAAAAAATAAAAATAAAAACCCTACAACCCTGCCTTCACCCACAAAGTTTTCTACCTAGAGACAATGGGTGTTTCCTCACTGAGTTTTATAAAAACACAGCCCTTGAAAAAAGTACAATAAAGTAACTATGAATACAAAGATCTATGTCTTAGTACGCCCTTTTGGAGATTAATTCATTTTTTTCCCATAAATGTCTGTCCTTCGTTTAAGCTCAGTTTTGTTTTTTTTTTCTAAACTGTATTAGAATCAGTTTTCCTTACCCCAGAGTAATGGGATCGGGGGTAAAATGAATAAATTACATCTCTAAATAACAGGGGAGGGGGATCAGTTTTAACCCCAAATTCCTACCCTGTCCCGGATGTTTCAGGAGATCCATCACAAAGAATAACACTAAATAGATAGAGTTTTACTCTTCTCTCTGCCCATTACTATCTGATGGAAATCCTAATGAAAAGTGAAAACCACACTTATCATTAGTCTCCAAACACTCACACCCTAAACAGGCAATAAAGGGGCTACCAAGAATTACCTCCTTCATATTCCTTTTTCACATAATGTTTCTTAAAAGAAACAGAGACCTGTTAGCACCCATTCCTATAGATCTTTGCACAGCTATGCAACAATATAACGTGTTGTTTTAAGCACTGAGCATGCTGCCCCCGCAAGTCAAAGGACCTGGCCCATGGCTTGGTATGTTCTGGGGAAACACCATCACTGCATGTGGGTTGCTTCCAGAGGGGGTGCTTGAGGCATGCTGGGTTTCTCTTGCAGTGAGCTGTTGTGTTCTGTGCTGCCAACTCCTCGTTCTCTGTCTTCAGGCCACAGGCCACTCTTTCCCTGGTTAACTATTTTCAGAAAGTTTACCACTCATCCTACGCTTCACATTCATTAGGACAAAACAAAACAAAACAAAAAACCCCACAAATAACGAGTGTTGGCAAGAATGTGGAGAAATTGGAACATTTGTGCACTACTGGTAGAAATTTAAAATGGTGCAGCTGCTATAGAAAAACAGTATGGTGGTTCCTCAAAAAATTAAAAATAGAATTACCAAATGCTTCAGTAATTCTACTTCTGGATATATACAAAAAAGAATTGAAAGCAGGATATCAGAGAGATATTTGTATGCCTTATGTTCATAGCAGCATTATTTATAATAGCCAAAATGTGGAAGCAACCCAAGTGTCCATAGACAAATGAATGGATAAACAAAATATGGTATATACATACAATGGAGTATTAGCCTTAGAAAGGAAGGAAATTGTGACACTTGCTACAACATGGATGAACATTAAGGATATTATGCTAAGTGAAATAAGCTAGTCACCAAGGACAAATACAATACTATATGATTCCACTTATATGGGTTCCCTAGAGTAGTCAAATTCATAGAGATAGAAAGTAGAATGGTGATTGCCAGGGACTAGGGGGAAGAGGAATAGAAAATTATTATTTAATAGGTAAAGAGTTTTGGTATTTTATTTTTGCCCAGGATAGGGGGACAGGGTCTTAATTTGTCACCCAGGCTGGAGTACAGTGGCATGATCATAGTTCACTACAACCTCAAGCTCCTAGGCTGAAGGGATCCTCCTGCCTCAGCCTCCTGAGAGCTGGGACTACAGGCAAACAGCACTATGCCCAGCTAATTTTTCTATATTTTGTAGAGACAAGGTTTCACTATTGCCCAGGCTGGTCTCAAACTCTCCTGGGGTTCAAGTGATCCTCCCGCCCTGGCCTCCCAGAGTGCAAGGATTATAGGCATGAACCACCAGCCCAGAGTTTCAGTTTTTCAAGATGAAAAGAGTTGGATGGTGGTGATGGTAACACAACAATGTGAATGTACTTAGTGCACCCAAACTGTACGTTTAAAAACAGTTAAGATGGTAAATTTTATATTATGCGTATTTTACCATGATTTCAAAAAGAAGATATTAAAAAAATAGTACACCATCCATCCAGAGTGGACCTACGGTTGAGTGGAACAGCAAGCATGATGGGTCTACAGGATCCCCAAACATGGTACATATATCACCAGTTCTACCTTCCCTTGCTCATGACAAATATTATTAATTGATAATTCCAATACTCTTTCCTCCTGAGTCCAGTTACAACATCATAACCTTTCTCAACACAGGCTACTACCAAACAATTGGAGTCGATACGTCAGCTATGCCAGTGTAGGAGAAAACTGTGATGTTCTATGAGATCCATGCTAGAGAAAAATCCAAACAATAAAAACTTCGCAGAATGGGCAAAATCAACATGGACTTGATATATTAAGGAAAAAATTCTTTTTTAGCCCTATCCCACAAAAGTCCCAATAGCTAAAATTGAAGCAGCGTCAGTCACTGCTATCACCCCTCACTTGAACCCATAAAACCCAGGTTCCGATCTCTAATTATATGAGTATTTTCTACGCAAAGGAACCAGAACTCCTGGAAGGGGAATTGATTTCAAGTCTTGGGAAAGGAAAATCCAGAGTGGATCTAGAATATCCTGTTGTTGCCAGGAAGGAAAGATTATCTGCTAAAAGGACAAGAGAGAAAGTTAGGGAGCTCCTACTGCCCCAGCTATGCCAATTTAAACATAAAAGCATCATCCTCATCAACAGGAACAACTTCAACACGTGGAAAAAGTTAATGTAAAGTATTAACAAAGGGTAGTAGTAATATAAAAGGGAAATATTTTGTCATTTTTTTGCTATTCTTGAGTTTCAAGATATTCAATGCACAGCTGGTTTGTTTCTTTTCCACTTCATATACAGACATTGTTAAGCATGGGTCTATTATCAAGTATGAATATGAACCTGTTTCTATTTGTGTAAGTAAGCAGGAGGGACTGGGTGGGGAAACTTTAAGTGGGCCAAGCAGCCTCTTCAAAATTAAGAGCTATGCCATGAACAAGATCAGCCCTTGTGGTCTCATATCATATCATGACAAGGAATAAACAAAGTTCATCCATTCATTGCCACTGATGGTTATATATAATAACCAATGAAAAGCACCCCTTCTCCTCCAAGAGAGCACTGATCCACTCCCTCAGCCCCCAGGAAATAATCCCTGTGGATGAATTTACCAATGAGATACTGATAAGACAAGTAAGCTTCCAATTATTAATACATCAAAGAGGTCAATATATCATAATGACAGAAAAGTAAGGTAGGTTCAAGCCATCTAGTCACAAATTCTGGTAAAGATACTAAGTTTCAATAAATGAATATCTACTTGAGACCTAGGGATGTAAACTTTTCACATGTAACTAGCACAATTTTGTAACAAAAGGGGCTTGAACTACTGAACCATATAATATAGCCAGATCCCACATTCTGACCTGAAATCAAAGGGTTAACAATTTAGAACTTACAGATTCATTGACATTGAGTTTCTTTTTCTTTGGGTGTCTGGTGAAGTTTCTAAAATCCTAGGAAGATGTAAATCTTATATTGTGTAGATATATCTAGGCTATTTAAGGAAATTAGATATATGTAGTTGCAATCACTGGTTAAATAATTCAAGAAATTTGCTTTGTTAAATCCATAATTTTTTATGACCTTGTCGAATAAGTAGTATGTGACCATTTAGAGTATTAAATAAGTTTAAAGAACTATTGCTCAATAAATTCTTAAGATTATAAATTATACATTAAACAACACAAAAATGGTCATAAATATTCTTCCCCAAGCACAAAAGTCCATTGGACACTAAAGATCCTCAAAATATAAAATGAATTTGCCATCCCAGGAGACTTAAGACCATTAAAAAAGATTACTCTTCAAATCAAGGTACTCCATGCTGAATCTCTTCTATACAGATCATGCTAATTTCTCAGATTTGGTGGGGCTTGCTCTTTGGATCACCCTACCTTGAGTAGTGAAAGCTTTTGCTTCACCAATTGCATTGCTAACTTAGAGCTGTCAAATTTGTACCTTTTGGTTCATCTGTCTTTCCTCCTGGGTTGGAGTTATCATCTTTTGTAGAATCCTTCAGGGTTCCATATTCCTTTTCCATCTTAGCAGCTTCTTCCTTGGTACTGTCTGTTTCTTCATGACTCTTTTCTGATGGTGCTGTAATCAGATTATACATTGTTGTTATAACCTTATTTCCTATCTATTAATTAATTCCTGATGTAGAAATAAACTTTATTGAAAAGGTACAGTTTGAGGTCAGATCAGTGTTTTGAGCTGGAAGGATTCTTAGTGATTAGCTCTAGTCCAACCCTCTACCCATACTACACAGAAGAGGAAACTGAGGCCCAGAGAGGGGAAAGATGTGTCTAAAGTCAACACTGAGTTCAAAGAAGAGCTGGGCCAACCCTCAGCTTTCTGGATTCTGATTAGCATTCTTTTTCTTCTGTCACACCACGCCTAGAGCATTAGAGCGTGGTAGTCTATTAGTAACAGCCTATTAGCACCTAAGGATTTGGGGCTATGGCAAGATTTCTTTCCTTCTGCCCCTTTCTTCACACTCCCTTAACCCTGGTAACTCTAAATGCAAAGAAGAGGCATGGACACTTGCTGACAATTGTAATGCATCCCTGCAGCCAATAAAATATTTGGAATCTCAAGCAGTCTAACCTTTTCAATGAATTTTTTCTCTCTGAGACCAGGTCTCACTGTCACCCAGGCTGGAGTGCAGTGGTGTGATCACAGCTCACTGTAGCCTCCAATTCCTGGGCTCAAGTGATCCTCCCACCTCAGCCTTCTTAGTAGCACACTACAGGTGTGCATCACCTGGCTAATTTTTAAAATTTTTTCTAGAGATGGGGTCTTGCTATATTGCCCAAGTTGGTCTTGAACTCCTGGCCTCCAGTGATCCTCCCGCCTCAGCCTTCCAAAGTGCTGGGATTACAGGAATGAGCCACTGTACCTAGCCTATGTTTTGTTTTGTTTTTTTAATTATAGAAAAACAGGAAAGAAGAAAGAAAGAAATCAGTTATTGTTTCACGTAAAACATCTACTGTGCCGTGGTATATATAGAGATGCATGGTGTTTTTTTTCATAGTTGTGGTATGAGATTTTGAAGAACGAAGAAATTTTGTTCTTTGCTTTTGTCATTAATATAATTATGGAAGGATGTTTGCAGGTTATTAAAAACTACTTGAAAACATATTTTAAAAGGGCATGTATATCACGAAGAATATATACATTATTTATGTGATAGGGACAAAAAATTAAAGTATAAGAATTTGCAACTTGTAATCTTTTCTCTTTTTGCTCTACCCTCCTCCTTGAAAGAGGCTCCTTTGCACAGCTCAATTCCATGGTGTTTGCTGTGCTGGGCAGGGTGATAAGTAGAGATGCCACGAGAAGGGAGGGGTGGGTGCTGATAAATCACACTATACCCGGGCACAGAACATCCCAGAAGAGAGAGAAGGCCTGGGAGGGGAAGCAGAAAGCAGGGGGAATGGGGTAGACAGATGACCAGGGACAATAGTCTGGAGAAGTGATGACCTAGGGAGAGAAGAAGATATCTAAAGGAGAATTTTAGAAAAAGTTGCTCAGTTCGTGATGTAGCCCTTTCCTTTTGACCTAAGACTCTTAGCTACGTCCTAAGGCTCTTCTGTAAAAGCCTACATTACTTTTCAATGTTTTCTGGCAGTCAGATTTCTGTACTATGACTGGCCACAAAATAGACAATGTTACATCTATTTAATCCTATGTGGGATTTCAGATTTTAAAAATTTTTTGAAATCTGTAACTCTTGATTAATGTTTATTGAAGTTCATTATTTACCACTCAAAAGGGTTATTCTTCTCAAAGCTAAAAAAAAAAAATTAGTAAGTAATCATGTTGACTGATGAGGAGCTAAAAATAAATAAATAAATACATTTAAAAAATTAGTTAAATGAATCATACCTGGGAAAAGCTTACTTTTGTTGTCAGTAGCATTTTTTTCTAGTTTGTTTTTGGTCTGAAGAGCAATCATTTCGTCCAAGTTTTCTGAAGGAAGGAGGGAAAGAAGTATTAATTTTATTCCCTGAGAAATAATATCAAACGTTTACTAAATACATTTAAATCTCACCAGAAACATCATAATAGCAATTGCAAAATATTAACACTGCTGGTAAGATGCTTTGACCTGGATTTTATCTCTCAGAATCATACACTCTCTCTCAGGATAGAAAGGCATATAATTTGAGATCCTCGAGTTCAGACTCCTACTCAGCTAACTGCAGAAGTCCCTTTTACATCTCAGTGGTCACTGCAGGAACAATTCCAGGGTTTGGTCTTGGAATGGACACCTGTAGTTTTGACCTACTCAACACCATGTAGAAAGTGCACCTCCATTTCCCTTTGAGAAACCCAGCCCTCTCTCTCTCTATCACTCTTAGAACACGTGACTCCAATGGTGGCCGTAACGCAAGCCTAACCAATCAGGGTCTTCCATGAACCTGGGCTCTAGTGATTGGCTTAAAGGGGAGCTCACGGTTCAATCCAGGTCAGTGAGACTCAATGCTAGGACTATTGGTAGAAAGAGGCTCACTTCCCACTGGGAGTGATGTATTGTGAGGATGCGAGATTGGGGCTATCTCTCTATTTTGTTCCCACAAGGTGCAGCCTGTCTGGAATGAATCAGGGTACAGAAGGATAGAATTGTGAGATGGGTAGAGATCAACTCCTTACACTATTGGTGGAATTCATAAACCACCTGTTGGCTGGGCGCGGTGGCTCATACCTGTAATCCTAGCACTCTGGGAGGCTGAGGTGGGCGGATTGCTCAAGGTCAGGAGTTCAAAACCAGCCTGAGCAAGAGCGAGACCCCCATTTCTATTTTTTAAAAAGTTAAAAATAAATAAATAATAAACTACCTGTAGACTTTTTAGTTACATGAGGCAATAAATTCCCTTTTTGCTTAAGCCAAACAGTTGGATTTCTATTATTCAGGGCCCTTGCTAATTCATGAGGGAGCCAGTTCTACTATTAGGTAGTCTTAAGGGTGAGAATGTCCCTACTCATGTTAAGCTGCACTCTGTACCCTTGTCTTTGTTCTAATTCTGCTCTTTGGAGTAACATCACATAAGTGTTACTAGACAGGAGTCTAGACTGTGATTTCCTCAAGGTAGACAATAAATTAGAATCTAGACTCTTTGTACTCGGTTAGTCAACCAGTCACCTATCTTCTTTGAAATAATGACCATAGCTGGCAACCTTTGTAATCACCACGTTCTGTGGAGACCAGAACAGAAAGGCAGGTCACTGCTTGCCACTGGCTCAGGTGGGGGGAGGGGAGGCCAGTCAAGCCTCTTCACCTGTGCTGCCCTGAGCTTCAGGGGGTCTGAGGGTGGATCTCCATGGCAACAGCAGTCAAAGCCAATGTACTTATACATAAAAATTCTTAAAAATATAACTCACATTCTTTTTTTTGAGACAGAGTCTCACTTTGTTGCCCAGGCTAGAGTGAGTGAGGTGGCGTCAGCTTAGCTCACAGCAACCTCAAACTCCTGGGCTCAAGCGATCCTCCTGCCTCAGCCTGCTGAGTAGCTGGGACTACAGGCATGCGCCACCATGCCCGGCTGATTTTTTCTCTATATATTAGTTGGCCAATTAATTTCTTTCTATTTATAGTAGAGACGGGGTCTTGCTCTTGCTCAGGCTGGTTTGGAACTCCTGACCTCAAGTGATCTGCCCGCCTCGGCCTCCCAGAGTGCTAGAATTACAGGCGTGGGCCACCGCGCCTGGCCATAACTCACATTCTGCTTGAAAAAGTGATATATACTGGATAAAATTAAGAAAACAGAAAATTATTTTTTAAAAAATCACACTTATTATGTCCAGAGATATTTTGGTATATTTCCTTCTAGCTTTATTTCTTTCTCTCTCTCTATATATATATACACATATCCATTTTTCAGCACCAAAATTGATGTTATATTCTAAATGGCTTTAAGCATTCAACATTTTATCATAAACATTTCTCCTTGTCACTAGTCTATATAAACAATATTTATATTATATATATAATTGTATATATAACAAACATATATAATTATTTTAATAACACAAACATTTAAAATAAAATTTAAATAATCATAAGAAAAAATAATTTGTCTTAGATAATCTTCTTTTCTGGAATATACAGCCTATTTTCAAAATTTTACTGATATAAACCAATGTTGTCCAACAGAACTTTCTGCAATGATGGACATACTCAATTCTGTGCTGTGCAATATTGTAGCTACTGGCTACATGCAGCAAGTGAGCACTTTATTTATTTATCTTTCTTTCTTTCTTTTTTTGAGACAGAGTCTCACTCTGTTGCTCGGGCTAGAGTGCAGTGGCATTAGCCCAGCTCACAGCAACCTCAAACTCCTGGGCTCAAGCGATCCTCCTGCCTCAGCCTCCGGAGTAGCTGGGATTACAGGCATGCGCCACCATGCCCAGGTAATTTTTTTTAATATATATTTTTAGTTGTCTAATTTCTTTCTATTTTTAGTAGAGACGGGGTCTTGCTCTTGCTCAGGCTGGTCTCGAACTCCTGACCTCAAACGATCTAACCGCCTTGGTCTCCCAGCGTGCTAGGATCACAGGCGTGAGCCACCGCGTCCGGCCCAAGTGAGCACTTTAAATGTGCCTAGGGCAATGGAGAAACTAGATATTAAATTTTATTTAATTTAACAATTTGTATTTTGTGGCTACCACATTGGACAGCAGAGCTATGAATGGTAGTGGGAGTATCTGCCTTGCACATAGCCTTTGTGGCATCTCTCACTCATTTCCAAGGAATAAATGACTAAGTGTGGAATTTCTGAGTCACTGGGTATTGATACAAAACAGCTATTTATCTGAAACATCTTTGATGTACTGTTAAAGGAATAAAGTAAGCCACATTTTTGTTATGAAGCGCTGTGTGTAATATAAGCCTGTATTTTGTTAAATAAGATAAATGAAAGAAATGACATCATAGGTATGCACACACACACGTAGAGGAAAACATCTGGAAGATGTCAATATTGTGAGTGATTTTCACTTCTTTTTAAACACCTTTTTGCATTGAATGATTTTTTTAAAATAAATATGCTCTTTTATAATCAGAAAAAGCAGTAAAACTATTTTCATGTAGAAAAAAATAGGGCTTATACAGAGCAGTTCTGGATTACGCGACCTTATGAGATTCCTCTTCTAGTTAATTCTCCGTCCCCTATCAGAGCAAGGGGCTGGGAGGGCATGTTGCCCAAAATATATTGAAGCTGAATGGCATTCGTTGATTAAATAAATGAAACAGGAAAACAAGAGGCTTTAAAAAAAAAAACAAAAAACTGAGGATTTGCAATGTGTCTAATGCAACTTGAGAAACTAGATTTTGTTTTACTTAATATTAATTAATTTAAAAAATAACCTACATGCAAAATCAAAGAATGTCTAAGTTTATATATAAAGTTCAAGGAATAGGGGTTCGCAAACTTTTTCTGTAAAGAGCCAGGATAGTGATTATTTTTGGCTCGCTGTAGGCCGTACATAGTCTCCATTGCAACTACTCAACTCTGCTGTTGTAGAATGAAAGCAGCTACAGACAACACTGAAACAAATGAGCATGACTGAATTCCAATAAAACTTAATTTGTAAACATTGGAATTTCAATTTTATATAATTTTCATGTGCCATTAAATGCTATTCTTCTTTTGATTTCTTTTTCCCAATCATTTAAAATGTAAAAGCCATTCTTAGCTTACATGCTCCACAAAAATAGGTGATGGACCAGATATGGTCTATGGGCAGTAGACTGGTCTACTGGTCTATGGGACCAGATATGGGCAGTAGTTTACCAGCCCTTTTATTGATAAGAAAGTCCTTCATTTAATCTAATTTTGTTTTATTTTATTTATTTTTGAGACAGAGTCTAGCTCTGTTGCCTAGGCTAGAGTCCAGTAGAATCATCGTAGCTCACTGCAAACTCCAATGCCTGGGCCCAAGCGATCCTCCTGCCTCAGCCTCCCGAGTACCTGAGACTATAGGTGTGCCACTACACCTGGCTAATTTTAAAGACATGATCTTGCTATGTTGCTCAGGCTGGCCTTGAACTCCTGGCCTCAAATGATCCTCCCACCTCAGCCTTCCAAAGTGTTAGGTTTATAAGCGTGAGCCATCGTGCCTGGCCTCAAAGTCCTTCATCTTATAGATGCAGAAACTGAGGCCCAGCAAGGAACAGTGCCTTCCCTGACATGACAGAGTGGGTCCATGGCAGAGCTGGGACCAGGAGTCAGGACATCTGATGCTCAGGCTAGTGCTCTTTCCTCCTAGCCACCCACAGACCTCCAGGAGAAAATCATGATTCTTAGTCCCAACCTTCCAAACACAATAGAAAAAAACATTAGTGAGTCAAATTTTAATAAAATTGTCTCCATGGAGATTATTAGAAAATGCTAATAAAACAAAATATAAGTGTGAAATGTTTTTACTCAAGCCAGATCTATAACAATAAAAAGTTGAAAATCTATGATTTATTTTATTTGTATGCATTATCAAACAGGGAAATACTGGTTACCCAGATGATTTGGACAGTTTGGGGATAAATTATCAAACTAGTGAGGTAATTATCGCCAAGTTCCTAACTTACTTTGAACCAATGAAAACTACCATAGTAAAAACAAACCAGATAGGATTCTTACCAAGGTAGGAAACACCTTCTTCTGGAGATATTGTGCCGTACTTAACCATCATCTTCACGAAGTCAATCAGCGTTTTCATGATAGTAATCAGTGTTTCTTTCTCTTTTGCCTCTTTTTCTAAATAAAAGAACAAAATAATTTAAAGAAAACTAGTGGAGTATAGCTTCATTTTTTAATGTCAATTTATGAAGTAGAACATCTTATTGAAATATTTCTCCCTACATTTATACCTAAGACATTCATTCATTCATTCATTCATTCATTCATTCATTCATTCATTCATTTATGAGACCAGGTCTTGCTTTGTTGCCCAGGCTAGAATGCAGTGGCACCACTACAGCCTTGAACTCCTTCAGCAATCTTCCTGACTCAGCCTCTTGAGTCACTGGGTCTTCAGGTACATGCCACCATGTCCAGCCGATCTTTATTTTATTTTATTTTATTTTATTTTATTTTATTTTATTTTATTTTATTTTATTTTTTTAGAGATGATGTCTTGCTATGTTGCCCCGGCTGGTCTTGAGCTTCTGGGCTCAAGCAATCCTCCCACTTCAGCCTCCTAAGTTGCTGGGGTAACAGGTGTGAGCCATGGCACCCTGCTAAAATCATATATATTTAATTTACAAAAAATCTAAGACTTGATTGGAAATACAGGGCAATGTATAGCTATACCAAACATTTTCAGAAATGGGCAATTATAACTTCTCCAACGGGGTTTAAGTTAATCTAAAGTCTTTTACGAATAGAGTAGATGATGAAGAGATAATTTTCAACCTGAGATAACATGAACCCAAAAGGAAGGGTAGAAGATTGACAACCCAACAACTTTTTTCTACTCAGGCGGTAAGTCTTTGAGGGCAAGAACAATCTGCATTTATTAATGAAGCTTAATTTTCTGAGTTGAAAATAAGAACACATGTATAACACATGTATGTTTTTATTTTTTAAATGAAAGCTTTAGTTTTTTTAATAGTAGCATATATTACTTTTTAACCTTTATTTCATTTGAAAGAATATATATAGAGAGTAAAAAGATTGCAGTAGTTCAGAAGTAAATAAAAGTGAAAAGTAACATTCTCTTCCTCACCCCACACCCCTTACCCCCTATAGGTAACCACTATTAACAATTTCTTGGGAACCCTTTGTATTTGACATACTGTTCTGCATCTTGATGGAACAGAATGGCTAATTTGATGCCATAGTAGCTCAGTAAATACATTAGTTCTCAAATCAGAACAAATCTATTTCCATTTTTGAAGAAAAGAAAAACAAAGATACTAGAGGGGAACCAATTTTCCCTATTCTTTTAGCTGCCATGAAGGATTTTCTCTAAATACTCCTAGCCTTTCCCCTAACCCTTTCATTCTCCCTGCATATGTAGATGGTAGGCAATATCCTACACTTCTCAATGGATGGGGATTTGGAATCTCTTTTCTTTCCACTTGCCTGGAATGGTAGATGGCAAAAACCAGAGGTACTTGTCTGCTCTGCAGACTCAAGCCATCCCTGGGATTGGCTTCCGAGATCTAGACCGAGGAGCAGGGAGTGAGCAAGCCCAGTGTTGTCTCTCACACGAAGCTACATTCTACATCTCAGTGCTCATCAGTAACAGAGATAATATATTGTTTTTCTACCTGCTTTATTATTTCTCTATTGGTTCAGACCATGGGTGATAAAGACAGGTACTAGCAAAGACCTCGGTGTTAAGTATTTACATTAAAATTCTAGAAAAATAAAGGCAAGAAGGATTGGGGTGACGGAGACTGAAACATGAAAACAAATAAAGACTAGCTCGTACAGTAGAATTTTCAAAATGCCATCAAAGTCACAGGTTGGGAGGGAGGAAAAGTGGGAGAAGAGGTAGGGGCAGAGATCCTGGAAAAGAACTGGTAAATAAAAACTTCAGCCATCACATTATTTTCTCAAGGTCACATCTGTATGAGTACTTGGCATCATGCTGGTGCTCTTCACTGATGAGAAGTGACTCACCAGGATGACAGAGGTTCTGAGCTGGGCATCTGCCAGCCCATGGGGCAAGATGGCTCAGAATGGACCCTCAAGTTGTACAAGCCCTGCGGACACCAGCAGAGGGGCCGGTGCCATCTGGCCAATGTCTGAAATTGAAGCACAGAGGATGTTCTCCAGAAATGAAAGCTTACTTTAAGGTCACTTCTTGGGAGTGGGAGGAAAATAGATTACAACTAGAAATCTTTATATAGATGTTCAATCTGGGGCCGAATCTTTGAACAGGGAAAAGGAAAAGTCATTAAGGCAGTACAGGACATCTGTTTGAACAATAACAGCATAAATATTGTACATTTATTATCTTTTTTGCAGAATTAACCAACAATAATCATGAACTGAAATCCTCAGTTAACTCCCGTGCTCATAGGAGCAAAGAGATCAGGACACATTAAAGACTTTGTTTTTTAGAATTAAACAAATAATTTCCCAAGTGTGTGGGGCTCCTGGCCTCCTCGTTTAGTCTAATGCTCTTGATTGTAATTCATTTGAAGGCTGAAACTGAAACTGTCTATAAAGCAATTTCTCAAACAATTTAAAAAAGGATGACTTAGGTTCCACAAACTGTTCCCATTAAGAGAGAAAAATGAGTAGAGCCTTTTAAATGAAGATTCAATGCAAATGGCAGGATTTCCTTCCTGTTTTTTGCATGATTGTTTTTACCACAACAAGGATGCACCTAGAAGACATATGCTAAACAAATCAACCAGGCACAGAAAGACAAGTACTGTACGATCTCCCTTATACGTGGAATCTAAAATAGTCAAATTCACAGCAGCAGAGAGCAGAATGGTGGTTGCCAAAGGATAGGGCGAGGGAAAAGGGGGAGATGTTGGTCAAAATGTACAAAGTGTCAGTTATGCAAGATGAATACATTAGCATGGTGACTGTAGTTAACAGTACTGTACTACATATTCGAAATTTGCTAAGAGGATAGATCTTAAGCGTTCTCATCACAAAAAAAAAAGGAAAGAAAGAAAAAAAGGAAGAAAAAATGGTAACCATGTGAGGTGATGGATATGTTAATTAGCTTGACTGTGGTCATCATTTCACAATATGTACATATATCAAAAACATCGATTGTACTCCTTAAGTATATGCAATTTTTATTTGCCAATTATACTACAACAAAGCTGGGGGGGAAAAAAAGAGTTGCGATAAGAACTGAGGCTGAACTGGGTCAGCGCAGGGACACTGATTCATCTCTATATCTGCGCAAGGCCCTTCCTGGCACCTGTACGTAGCACATGTTCAATAGCTGTTTGTTGAACAAATAAATGAACCCTCTGCTAACAAGAAGATTAAATTATCTAGAAACTCCACCTTTCCTGATTACCCTTTCCTAAATATTTCCATGACTAGTATTTCTCTTTCAAAAACAAAAATCTCAGTGTGGAATGCTCTGCCTAAAAAAAAAAAAAATAAAAATAAAAACAAAAACAAAAATCAATGTGACCTGTTTTTCCCCAAGCCGACCGTGTATGTCATTGAGGATTGCATCTAGAAATTGAAAACAGGAAGAAAACCCCACCCACACATTTCCTAGAGTTACTATTTCTGTTCCACATGGTCAGAAAACACAGTGGTTACCTGAATCGATACTTTTCAGTAATGCATAGAAGTTTGGGAAATACTGGAGTTCCTCAAAGTTGTCTTCACTGTAGGTTTTAGTTCTCCTTTCCAGGCCATTTGTCAAGGTTAAAGTGTTGGATACTGTTTCGTCGTTTTCTCCATTAGTAAAACCATCTTGAATTGCTGCCACTGGAGTCTGCAGTGAGGAAAAAAAAAATCAATAAAAAATAAGCATTTCGTTACAACTAATGAAACTCCAGCTAAATTCTTTCCTCTGTTTTGCCCTTGAATGTGAAGTGCAAGAATCCCTCCTCCTTTGCAAGATTCTGCGGGTTCAAACCTATTTCTAGGCATGCATGCTCTAATCATATGGAAAAGTCATTGGGGCTTAAAAAAAGGTGCTCTACCCTGAAGACCCTGGCTCCTGCTCAGGGGAAAATAGACAGGGAATTTCTAGGTTCCTGTTCTGGCCAAGTTCACCTCCATAAGTTCTCGTAAGTCTCTCACAGAACCTACCAAGAGGGATGGTGCCAGGACACAGGAAAGCCTGTCATAATGTCTGACACCAGCAGAGAAGTCACACTTGGGAATTTCTGGGTGACATTTCAAGGGCTGTCTGGATAGATGGATGCACAAGATCTTTTCTTCTAGACATCATCTTTGTTCAGTGTTCCCCATCTGAGTGAGTGGTCCATTCTCCACTGAGTGAACTACATAGAAATCTCAAAGCCTTTCTTCCCTCTTTTTCTTCCTTTTCCCCCATTTAATCCATTAGTAGCATTGTTGACCCTATATTCAAAATTTATCCCAAATTTGTATATTTCTCTCTCTACTATCTCACTCCAGTCTCTACTATCCCCTTCACCTCTCATATTCCAACTGGTACACCGTCCAGCTTAAATATATTCCCAACACCACATCTTTTACATCGTAGCCAGTGTTATCTTTTTAACAATCTAATCATGTAACGCCTTTGCTTGAAATCCTTCAGTATTTTCCCATGGCTCTTACAATAAAGATCTGAACCATCCATGGCTCATGGGCTCTGCATGGTCTGGCCTGGGTCCATCTCCCCAGTCTCTTCTCTCTTTGTTCTCTCTGTGCCAGCCACACTGTCCTTGTTTCAGTTGCTTGGATACTCCACACATCCTATTCTACGTGCTGCCTCTCGTGTTCACAAGTTAACTCCTATTTGACCTTCAGTTCCAAGCTCAAGTTACTTCCTCGGGGAAGTGTTCCCTGAGCCTAAGTCCAGGACAGGATTCTTTTTTATGGGGTCTCATAGAACTGTGTTTCTTTCCTTAGAGCACTTAATGCAGTTGTCATGAAAATACATGACCATTTAAAGAGCACCTACATCTTCCACTAGACCTTAAGCTTCATAGGAACAGGGATTATATTTTTTTTAAATGAGCACAGTATTCCCAGCACTTAGTGTACAGTTGGTATTCAATAAATATTTGTGGAAATATCATTTCCTTTGCATTTCATGCACATTGATGCATTCAGAGAACATGAGTAAACAGATCAAGCATACAGACGTGTTAGAGATGGATAAATGGGGGCGTATAACAGGAGTGAGGGAGTATGAAAATAGCTGAGTCAGTTTTAGTTCAAACCAGTGAAAATGAGAGTTGCTTGAGTGAAAGTCATGAGTTCTTTGATAAAGCTAGAGAGTTTTTTAGAGTAGATGAATCTTCAAAAGCTGTTTAAAAAGATGGCAACTGGTGGGGATTGGAAGTGGGGAGAGCAAAGGAGAGTTTTTAGGCTATCGGGTAAAAAATGCAGACCCAGTTCCTATTTTCTAGTCTCTTTAAAACAGAATATGCTGATGTAGCACCTCTTGTATTTTCCTGGATAGAGCTGGAACCCATTCTACTAAGTGAAGTGTCTCAAGAATGGAAAAACAAGCACCACATGTACTCACCAGCAAACTGGTATTAACGGATCAACACCTCAGTGGACATATAGAAATAACATTTATTGGGTGTCAGGCAGGTGGGAGGGGGGAGGAGGGGATGGATATATACAAACACAATGAGTGAGATGTGCAACGTTTGGGGGATGGTCACGCATGAAGCTCTGACTTGAAGGGGGAGGGGGGAATGGGCAATATACGTAACCTTAACATTTGTACCCCCATAATATGCTGAAATAAAAAAAAAACAGAATATGCCTATAGACTCTTGCTTTGTATTTGAGACAGGATGTTGGAGGAGATGAGGATCCATGGGCCCAGGTGCTCTGGTGAAGAAAATCAAAGGAGAAGTGAGGAGTATGATACCCTCCTAGGGTCAGCTTCATCTAGAGTGTTAAGAGAATTTAAGGTGAAGAGAAAGGTTTCCTTGGTTGATGCTAAGGAAAAGATAAAGAGGTGTGGAGTACGGAAAGGGAAGGAAGGAAAGAATGACCAGTCTGGGTGAAGGGTGAAAGGCACCTAAACCATCGAGAAGGGGAAGGAGCAGGAGAAGAGTGCAGCCTGGAACAGACAGGCAGCAGCTGGCAGCTAGCACTGGGGAATGCAAAAGCTGGGGTGGCAGGGGATCAGATCAACCCACTTCTTTTTGTGGGTTTGGGGCCAGATGATGACATCTAGTGGGAACAGATGTTGGATACCAAAAGAGCTATGAGATATTTGCTTCCAGTACACTGGAACTGTACAAATAGTTGTTATCGTGTGATGTTATTATTTCATATAATATTATGTATTATTTTACTCTGTGGTATTAGATACAACCTTTACTATATAATAGAATGTAACATTTAATCTTTTAGTTATTTTCAAAGTAGAGTTCATTTATGTCTTGTAACTTATTGGTATTTTGTAAATAAAGTTTTTTTTTGGTAGAGATGAAGTCTTGCTATGTTGGCCAGGCTGGTCTTGAACTCCTGACCTCAAGCGACCCTCCTGCCTCGGCCTCCCAAAGTGCTGGTCTCACAGACGTGAGCCACAGTGCTCAGCCTTAACCAGGCTAAAAATGCCACATGCCCCAAATATTTTTTGGTACAAGGTAAGGTATTAATTACATGCAGATACAAGTATATACACACACGCACGCATATTCACGTACATGAATATACACACATACACAACATACATATGTACATACCACTTTCTCTGGTATTTTTCCAGCCTGATTTTCAGTCCTGCTTGTGGGTTTGCTGGGATCCAGCTCATAATTGTTGGCTTCCTTCGAGATTAATTTTTGTAAAACCTCTGCTACTTCATCTTCCAGTGTGTGTGCCTGACTTTCTGTGATCTGTTAGAAAGAAGCAAAGCATATAACAGCTATTCCCAGCCTTCTGACTTAAAACAAAAAATCAGGACTAAACTCTGTAGTTGAACATCTATTTTTAAAACAGGAACCTTCCGAACGGTCTTTCAGACAGCCCTGGCTTATGCCTCCACTGCGTGCTGGCTGTTTTAGTGACTGCCCCGCACTCCTGGAAGGGTCTCTGGGCCCAAGGTCAGTCCTGCCTGCTGAGACCCAAGGAACACTTATTTTGAGAAACACCCCAGGAGTTGCTCCTCCATCGCTTCAGTCTCCAGTAACCTTTGAAACGCCACAATATTGGCATTTTAGTAAATCCTGTCAGGGCTGCTCAGGGCTGAGGAGCAAAGCTGAGGCGGATTCAGATGGGACTGCTTAGAGCATTCTTTCTATTTTAGTAGAGACGGGGTCTTGCTCTTGCTCAGGCTGGTCTCGAACGTCCATGACCAAACGATCTACCCACCGCTTTGTCTCCCCCAGCGTGGCTAGGACACAGGCGTTGAGCCAGCCCGCGCGTCGCCAAGTGAGCACTTTAAATGTGCCTAAGGGCAATGGACGAAACTAGATAGTTACAATTATTTAATTTAACAATTTGTATTTTGTGGCTACCACACTTGGACAGCCCAGAGCTATGAATGGTAGTGGGAGTATCTGCCTTGCCACATAGCCTTTGTGGCATCTCTCCCCACTCATTTCATGGAATAAATGACTAAGTTGGAATTTCTGAGTCCACTGGGTATTGATACAAAAACAGCTATTTATCTGAAACATCTTTGATGTACGTGCTAAAGGAATAACAGTAAGCACCAATTTTTGTTATGAAGCCGCGTGTGTACATATAAGCTTGTATTTTTGTTAAATAAAGATAAATGAAAGAAATGACATCATAGGTATGCACCACGACACCGTAGGGAAAACATCTGGAAGATGTCAATGTATTGTGAGCTGATTTTCAGCGTTCTTTTTAAACACCTTCTTTGCCAATTGAATGAATTTTTTAAAAATAAATATGCTCTTTTATACAGAAAGCCAGTAACAACTATTTTCATGTAGAAAAAATAGGCTTTTATACAGAAGCAGTTCTGGATTGACGCGACCTGATCGAGAATTCCTCTTCTAGTTAATTCTCGCGTCCCCTCACTCCAGAGCAAGGGGCTGGGAGGGCATGTTGCCCAAAATATATTGAAGCTGAAATGGCATTCAGTCTGATTAAATAAATGAACAGGAAAACAAGAGGCTTTAAAAAAAAAAACAACTGAGGATTTGCAATGTGTCGCCTAATGCAACTTGGAACTAGATTTTGTTTACCTTAATATTTAATTAATTTAAAAAATAACCTACATGCAAAATCATAAGAATGTCTAAGTTTATATATAAAGGTTAAGGAATAGGTTCGCCCAAAACTTTTTCTGAGTAAAGACAGGATAGTGATTATTTGCGTCGTTGTAGGCCGTAATAGTTCATTGCAACTACTTCAACTCCTGCTGTTGTAGAATGAGCAGCTCAGACGCAACACTGAACAAATGGCATGACTGAATTCAATAAAACGTTACATTTGTAACATTGGAGATTTCAATTTTATGATAATTTCATGTGCCATTAAATGCTATTCTTCTTTTGATTTCTTTTTCCAATATTAAATGTAAAAGCCATTCTTAGCCTTACATGCCTCCAACAAAAAAATAGGTGATGAGAAGCCAGATATGTCTATGGGCCAGTAGACTGGTCTACTGGTCTAATGGGACCCAGATATGGGCCAACGTAGTTTACCAAGCGCCTTTTTAATTGATAGAAAGTCCTTCATTTAATTAATTTGTTTTATTTTATTTATTTTTTGAACAGAGTCTAGCTCCTGTTGCCTAGGCTAGAGTCCAGTAGCAATCATCGTAGCTCACTGCAACTCCAATGCCTGGGCCAAGCGATCCTCCTGCCTCAGCCTCCCCGAGTAGCGCTGAGACTGATAGGCGTGTGGCGCACCTGACACCTGGACTATTTTTACGAGACATGATCTTGGTATGGTTGCTCAGGCTGGCTTGAACTGCCCTGGCTCAAAATGATCTCCCACCTAGCCTTCGCCAAAGTGTGAAAAAATGATATAAGACATAAGGAGCCATCGACGCCACAAAGTCTTCATTATTAATTAGATACACCAAAAAGAAGAGAACACCAGCAAGGAACAAGACACTTCGCCTGACAGAAACAGAGTAAGACACATAGGCAGAGCTGGGACAACCAACATCTGATGACACAAGAAGACAGATAGACATACATTATCCTCCTACGCCACCCACAAAGACCTGCAAAATCATGATAACATAATATTAAGATACAAACACACATTTCCAACACAAGAAAAACTTAATGGAGCAATTTAAATAATTGTCTCAATTGGAGATTCATTGAAATGCTAATAAAACAAAATATAAGTGTGAATGTTTTTACTCAGCAGATCTATAACATAAAAAGTCTGAAAATCCTTTGGTTTACTTTTATTTGTATGCCATTATCAAACGGGAAATACTGGTCCAGATGATTTCTGGACCAGTTTTGGGATAAATTATCAAATAGTGAGGTAATTATCCCAAGTTCGCTAACTTACTTTGAAACCCAATGAAAACTACCATAGTAAAACAACCAGATAGGACTCTTACAAGGTACGGAAACACCTTCTTGCTGGAGATACTTGTGCGACTTAACCATCCCATCCTTCACGAAGTCATCAGCGTTTTCATGAATAGTAATCAGTGTTTCCTCTCCTTTGCTCCTTTTTCTAAATAAGAAACAAAATAAGTTTAAAGAAAACTAGTGGAGTATAGCTTCATTTTTAATGTCAATTTAATGAAGTAGAACACTCTTATTGATGAAATATTTCCCTACATTTATACCTAAGACATTCATTATTCAATCGTCATTCATTCATATGAGACCCAGGTTTCTTGCTTTGTTGCCCAGGCTAGAGTGGGCAGTGCACCAACTTACAGCCCTTGGAACTCCCTCAGCAATCTTCCTGGACTCCAGCCCTCCCTTGAGTCCACTGGGTCTTCAGTACATCCAACCCCATGTCCAGCGCCGATCTTTTTTATTTATTTTATTTTATTTTTTTAGAGATGATGTCTTGCTATGTTGCCCGGCGGTCTTGGAGCTTCCTGGGCTCAAGCAATGCCCTCGCCACTTCAAGCCTCCCTAAGTTGGGCTGGGGGTAACAGATGTGAGCCACGGCACCCCTGCTAAAATCATATATAGTAGTTTACAAAAATCTAAGACTTGATTGGAAATACAGGGCAATGTATAGCTATACCAACACTTTCAGAAATGGGCAATTATAATACTTCTCCAGACGGGTTTAAGTTAATCTAAAAGTCTTTTTACGAATAGAGTAGCATGATGAAGAGATAATTTTCAACCTGAGATAACATGAACGCCAAAAGAAGGTAGAAGATGACAACCCCAGACTTTTTTGCTACTCAGCGGCGGTAAGTCTTTGAGGGCAAGAACAATCGCTGATTATTAATGAAAGCTTAATTTTCTGAGTTGAAATAAGAACAGGCACATGTTACACCATGTATGTTTTATTTTTAATGAAAGCTTTAAAAGTTTTTTAATAGTAGCATATTACTTTTTTAAGCTTATTTTCATTGAAAGAATATACTGATAAGAGAGGAAAAAAGATTGCAATAGTTCCAGAAGTAAATAAAAGTGAAAAGTAATATTCTCTTCCTCACCCCCCACCCTTACAACCTATAGGCCATATTACTTTCTTTGGGCCTATTGTATATTACATATGTTCTGGCCATCTGATGGAACTGTATTTGATCGTGTGCTCAGTATACATTAGTTCTTCTAGACAATTTTTCCTTTTGAAGCAATTACGAGGGCATTTTCTTTGTTGCACTAGGTTTTCTCATACTCCTGCCATTTCCTACCTTTCATTCCCTGCTATGTAGTGTGCATATCCTACCTTTCATGGGGATTTGGATTCTTTTCTTTCATATGCCGAATGTGTGCGACGGAGGTCTGTCTGCTCTCAACTCAGCCTCCTGGGTCTCCGGATCTAGCGCGGGGCAGGGAGTGGCGCCAGTGTTGTCTCTCACCGAGACTCTTTAATCCGTGCTCTCATCACGGATAACATATTCGTTTCTACCTGCTTTTTTTCTCTTATTGGTTCGAACCTGGTGTCGACGTCTCGACCTCGGGTGTTGTTTACTTTCTAGTAAGGCAGGGATTGGGGTCGGAGCTGCTGGTACGACTAGCGTCGTAGTTTTCATGTCGTCCAGTTGCGAGAGGGAAGTGGGAGAGGTGGAGAGCACTGGAGAATGGGTTCACTCGCTCACTTTTCTCAGGTCACTCGTTAGTCTTGGCATCAGCATTGCTCTTCACTGTGAGTGAACTCACCGGGGGGTTCGACTGAGGCATCTCCAGCCATGGGGCGTGGCGAGGCCATCAGTTAACCCTGCGACCAGCGAGGAGGCAGGGACCATCTGGCCAATGTCTGAATGAAGGCCAGAGGTGTTCCAGAGAGACTTACTTAGTCACATTTGGGAGTGGGGAAGATAAACTAACATATATATATGATATCATCATGGAGAGGCCAGATCTTTGCGGAAGAAGATCACAATAGCGTACGACCTCTGTATATGCACACAATCACCGCATCACATTGTACATTATTACAATATTATATGCAACGCAATTACGCCAATCATCATGACCATGCTCTCTTACTACAGTCATCATCGGCAGGATCCGGACATTAGCAATATGTATATATTATGACTTATTATTCCCGTAGATAGTGGGCTCCTGGCCTCCTCCAAGATTTAGATCTCTGATCTATGAATAGATACATTCTTTGGGCATGACATGAAACTGTTATAAGCTATATACATCAAACATTTAACGGAGCTTAAGTTCCACCACATGTTCCCATTGGCAAGCATGGTGGCCATATTAATGAGATACATGCAATGGCGGATTTCTTCCTGATTTGCATGATTGTTTTTACAACAGAAAAAGGATACCTTAACGACCATATGCTAAAATCACCGGCAAACAGAAACAATCTGTACGATCTCCTTATACGTGGAATCTAAAATAGTCAAATTAAGCAGGGCAGAGAGCAGAATGTGTGCCAAAGGAACGGGCGAGGGAAAGGGGACCGATGTTTCAAAATGTACAAGTGTAAGTTATGCAAGATGATACATTAGCATCGGTGACTGTTACGTCTGACAGTATGTATACATACTTCGAAATTTGCTAAGAGATAGACTTAAGCGTTCTCATCCACAAAAAAAAAAGGAAAAGAAAAAAAAGGAAGAAAAATGGTAACCATGTAGGTGATGGACATGCTTAATTAGGATTGACTGCTTGGTCATCATTTCACCCAATGTGTACATATATCAAAACATCGATTGTACTCGCTTAAACCCAGTATATGCCATTTTTATTGTGCCAATTATACTAGCAACAAGCCTGGGGGGGAAAAAAAGAGTTGGCGATAAGAAACTGAGGCTTGAACTGGCGTCAGCGCAGGGACACTGATTCATTCTCTATAATCCTGCGCAAGGGCGCTTGCCTGGCACCTGTACGGTAGCACATGTTCAATAGCTGTTGTTGAAACAAATAAATGAACCCTCCCTGCTAACAAGAAGATTAAATTATCTAAGAAACTCCACTTTTCCTGATACCCTTCTAAATAATTTCCATGAGCTAAGTATTTCTCTTCAAAACGAAAATCAATGTGACCTGTTTTTTCCCAAGCCGACCAGTGTATGTCATTGAGGATTTGCATCTAGACAATTGAAACAGAAGAAAACCCACCCAACGGACATTTCCTACGAGTTTACTATTTCTGTTCCCACCAAAAGTGTCAGAAAACACAGTGGTTACCTGATCGAACTTTTCAGTAACTGCGTAGAAGTTTGGGAAATCTGGAAGTTCCTCCAAAGCTGTCTTCACCTGTAGTTTTAGTTCTCCCTTTCCAGGCCATTTGTCAAGGTTTAAAGTGTTGGTACTGTTTCTTCGTTCTTCTCCATTAGTAAACCATCTTGAATTTGCTGCCAACTGAGTCCTGCAGTGAGGAAAAAAATCAATAAAATAAGCATTTTCGTTACAACGTAATGAAACTCCCCAGCTAAATTCTTTCCTCTGTTTTGCCCTTGAATGTGAAGGTGCAAGAATCCCCTCCCCTCCCTTTTGCAAGATCCTGCGGGTTCAAACCTATTCATAGGCATGCATGCTCTAATCATATGGAGGTCATTGGGCCTTAGAAAAAGGTGCTCTACCTGAAGACCGCTGGCTCCTCCAAGGGGAAAATAAGACGGGAATTCTGGTTCCTGTTCTGGCCAAGTTCACGCTCCCATAAGTTTCATAATTTTCTCACAGAACCTACCAAGAGGATGTGCCCAGGACACCCAGGAAAGCCTGTCATAATGTCCTGACACCGCAGCAGAGAAGTCAGCACTTGGGAATTTTGGGTGACCATTTCAAGGCTGTCTGGATAGATGGACTGCACAAATCTTTTCTTCTAGACATCATCTTTGTTCAGTGTTCCGCATCCTGAGTGAGTGGTCCATTTCCCACTGAGTGAACTAAACATAGAATCTAAAAGCCTTTCTTCCCTCTTTTTCTCCTTTACCCATTTCGATCCATTAGTAGCATGTGTTGACGCTAATATTCAAATTTATCCCAAATTGTGTATATTTCTCTCTCTACTATCACTCCAGTCTCTACTATCCCGCTTCACCTCTCATATCCCACTGGTACCCGTCAAGCTTAAATATATTCCAACACCACATCCCTTTTAATCGTAGGCCAGTGCTATCTTTTAACAATCTAATCATCGTAAGCCTTTCGCTTGAAATCTTCAGTATTCCATGGTCCTTACATAAAGACTCTGAACCCAATCCATGGCTCATGGGCCTCTGCATGGTCCTGGCCTGGGTCCATCTCCCCAGTCTCTTCCTCGTCTTTTGTTCTCTCCCTGTGGCCAGCCACACTGTCCTTCGTTTTCAGTTGCTTGGATTAGCTCCACACGATCCATTCTGTGCTGCTCTCCGTGTTCACCGCAAATTTTTAAAAAATCACACTTATTATGTCCAGAGATATTTTGGTATATTTCCTTCTAGCTTTATTTCTTTCTCTCTCTCTATATATATATACACATATCCATTTTTCAGCACCAAAATTGATGTTATATTCTAAATGGCTTTAAGCATTCAACATTTTATCATAAACATTTCTCCTTGTCACTAGTCTATATAAACAATATTCATATTATATATGTAATTGTATACATAACAAACATATATAATTATTTTAATAACACAAACATTTAAAATAAAATTTAAATAATCATAAGAAAAAATAATTTATCTTAGATAATCTTCTTTTCTGGAATATACAGCCTATTTTCACAATTTTACTGATATAAACCAATGTTGTCCAATAGAACTTTCTGCAATGATGGACATACTGAATTCTGTGCTGTGCAATATTGTAGTTACTGGCTACATGCAGCAAGTAAGCACTTTATTTATTTATCTTTCTTTCTTTCTTTTTTTTTTGAGACAGAGTCTCACTCTGTTGCTCGGGCTAGAGTGCAGTGGCATTAGCCCAGCTCACAGCAACCTCAAACTCCTGGGCTCAAGCAATCCTCCTGCCTCAGCCTCCGGAGTAGCTGGGATTACAGGCATGCGCCACCATGCCCAGGTAATTTTTTTTAATATATATTTTTAGTTGTCTAAT